ATTAAACAAACAGCTCAATGAATTCAGGAGTTGGTTCTTTGAAAAGATCAACAAAACTCACCAACATTTAGCCAGACTCACCAAACAATAAAAAGGGGGGAAGGGGACTCAAAATATGAAAGAGAAAAACAAGTGACATCATAGAAATACAAAGGATTGTAAGTTATAAAAAATTATATGGCAGCAAAATAGACAACACAGAAAACATGGATATAAAATCTCCCAAAACTGACTGAGGAAGAAACATTAAATTTGAACAGCCCAAGTATCAGCAATGAAATTGAATCAATAATCAAAAAACTCCCAACAAACAAAAGTCTAGGACCATATAGCTTCACAGTGGACTTCTACCAAAGGGTTAAATAAGCATTAATACCTATACTTCTCAAACTGTTTCAAAAAATAAAAGAGGAAGGAGTGCTTCCAAATTCATTCTATGAAACCAAACCAGACAAAGCTACAACAAAAAAAGAGAATTACAGGATGGCATTTCTGTGAACACACATGAAAAAAATCCTAAACTATATTAGCAAACCAAATCCAACAGTACATTAAACAAATCATTTGCCACAATTAAGTGGAATTTATTCCTGGAATGTGAGCATGGTTCAATATTTGCACATCAATCAGCATGAATCATCACATCAAAAAGAGAATGGATAAAAAAATCATATGATCATTTTAATAGATGCAGAAAAAGCACTTCACAAATTATAACATCCATTCGTGATAGAAACCCTCAACAAAGTGGTTTCAGAGGGCACATACCTCAACATAATAAAAGACATACATGAAAAACCCACAGCTAACATCATCCTCAATGGGGAAAAACTGAGAGCTTTTCCAAGACAAGAATGTCCCCTCCCAGATTTTTGGTTTTGTTTTGTTTTTTTAAACATTTATTTTTAGAGAGAAAGAACGAGCATGTGGTGCGGAAAGAGAGGCAGCCTGAGAGGGATAGAGAATCCCAAACAGACTCCCAGCTGAGCATGGAGCCTGACACAGGGCTTGATCCCACTACCCTGAGATCATGACCTGAGACAAAATTAAGTCAGACACTTAACCAACTGAGTGCCATCCAGGCACCTCTGTCCCCTCTCAGTTTTATTCAACATGGTACTGGGAATCTTAGCTACAGTAATCAGACAAGAAAAAATTATAGGAATCCATATTGGTAAGTAAGAAGTAAAAACTTCCCTACTTGCAGATGATATGAAAATCCTACTAGAAACAATAAATGAATTCAGTAAAGTTGCAGAAAACAAAATTAATACCCAGAAGTTGGTAGCGCATTTCTATACACTATAGATGAAGTAGCAGAAAGAGAAGTTTAGGAAACAACACTATGTAAAATTGCATCATAAAGGAATAAATACCTAAGAAGTGAAAGTTCCGTACTATGAAAACTATAAAACACCGATTAAAAGGAATTGAGGAGGATATTTAAAAAATGGAAAGACATTCCATCCTTGTGGATTGGAGAAATTTTAATATTAAAATGTCTACATTACTCAAAGTGATCTACAGATTTAATGCAATCCCTATCAAAATGCAAGAGCATTTTTCACAGAACTAGAACAAATAATGCTGGAATCTGTATGGAACCACAAAAGACTCTGAATAGCCAAAGCAATCTTGAGAAATAAGAGCAAAGCTAGAGGTATCACAGTTCCAGAAGTCAAGATATACTACACAAAGCTGTAATCCAAACAGTTTGGGGTACTGGTACAAAAAATAGATGCACAGATCAACAGAATAAAAAAGAGTTCAGAAATAAATACATGATTATATTATCAATTAATCTATGAATAAAGAGGCGAGAATATGCAATGGAGAAAAGACAGTCACTTCAATAAATGGTACTGGGAATACTGTGCAGCTACATAAAAAAGTGAAACCAGACCACTTTTTAACAACACACACCAAGTCAAAATGGATTAAAGACCTAAACATGAGACCTGAAACCATAAAAATCCTAGAAGAGAGAACAGGCGGTAATTTCCCAGACCTCAGCCATAGCACTATTTTTCTTGATATGTCTCCTGAGGCAAAGAAACAAAATCAGAAGTAAACTATTGGGGCTACATCAAGATAAAAAGCTTTTGCACAGCAAAGGCAACCAACAAAACAAAAAGACAACCTACTGAATGGGAGAAGATATTTACAAACGATATATACAATTGGGGGTTAATATCCAAAATATATAAGGAACTTACATAAATCAACACCAAAAAAAAAACCACAAACAATTATAAAATGGGCAAATGACATATACAGACATTTCTCCAAAGACATACTGATGGCCAACAGATACATGAGAAGATGCTTGATGTCACTAATCATCAGGTAGCTGCAAGTTAGAACCACCTGTCAAAATGGCTAAAACCAAAAACACAAGAGATAAAGAAGTTAGAAAGGATGTGGAGAAAAAGGAACCCTCTTACACTGTTGGTGGGAATGCAGACTGGAGCAGCCACTGTGGAAAACAGAATGGAGGATGCTCAAAAATTAAAAGTAGAGATATCATATGACCCCAGTAATTCCAGTTTTGAGTATTTACCCAAAAAACCACAAAGACACTAATTTGAAAAGATATATGCGCCCATATGTTTACTACAGAATTATTTATAATAGTCAAGATATGAAAGAAAACTAAGGGTCCACCAAAAGACAAATGGGTAAGAAAGAAGTGGTACACACACACACACACACACACACACACACACACACACACACTGGAATATTATATTGCCATAAAAAGGATGAGATGTGCTATTTGAGACAACAAGGATTAACCTAGAGGATATTGTGCTAAGTGAAATACATCGGGGAAAAACCATATAATTCCGCTATCTGGAAGTTTTTAAAAAAATGAATAAACAAACAAAAAGCAAAATGAGACCTATAAATACAGACCACTAACTGGTGGTTGCTAGAGGGAAAGAAGGAGGCCTGTTGGACAAAATGGTTAAAGGTGAGTGTCAGTTACGGAATTCTGGTTATTGAACATGTAAGTCATAGTAATGGATGCACAGCATGAGAAACATAGCTAATGATGGTGTAAAAACAGTGTATCAGGACAGGAAGTAGCTACACTTCTGTTGAACATAGCATAATGTATAGTCTTGTTGAATCGCTATGTTATACACCCAAAACTAACGTAACACTGTGTGTCAACTATGCATACATACATAATCCCTGAAAAATCCTTGAATTTTTCTCTGAAATAAACATTTAATGAGCACGTTACCTGCTGAATTGATACTAGGTAGTTTCACCAACAATATCACAGTTGAATAAAATCTTGGTTATTGCCGCTCTTGCAACAACTATGTATACTCATTCAATGAAGGAAAGTATCTGGTTGCTTCAAATGGACCCAATTTTTACACTCTTAAATAATTAATCCACACGGCATGCACAATCTGATTTCACCTTTTCATGCCTAAATGTCATGGAAAAAAACCAAAACCCTAGAAGAACCATTAGATGAAATCAAACAGAGAACTCCATGTATAACCCAAAATGGGTTTCAAACCCCAATTTCTATATTTCAGATTCATAACTAAAGGATTCCTTGGTTAGTTCCATGTTCATCTGAATGTGAAGCAGCTCCCTTGCCAAGATGATTTTTCTCCTGGCAACCAATTCTTGAGTAAATATCACAAGGAGAGTTTATCCACTGAATACTAGTTTGACCCAAATTACAATTCACCTGATTAAATATTAAGAATTAATTTGAAGTGGATGAGCTATTATTAAATAAAAGTCAAAGAACCTTCCTTCAATTTCATTTCTTATGATTACACCCATCTTACCGTTACAGCTGAATTCTCTGCATGCAGCAGATTAGTTATCATGATTTCATCTTATGCCTATTTAGACAAATAACTAATTTCAGTGTGTTTTCTAGTGAGTCATATATGATGTATATTAATGATGGCTCTTAACGGGGGGCCTGGAGCTAAGTTCTTGGCTACAAAGCTGTGAAGACAATTAGAAAGAGGCAGTACTTTAAAATTAGGGTAACAGAGAAATTCAGCCTATATAAAAAAGCAAAAAGCAAAAAAATGTTTAGCCAAGAGAGGTAAGAAGTCTCTCTCCATATATTATATGTAGATCTATTTGTGCAAAGGTGAAAAGAACAAATATTCAACCCTCCTACATGTGACAAGCTATATGATATATAAGAAAGGGAATGAATGAGAATTAATCGGAAACCACAGCTTCCAGTCCAAGTCCCCATTCTGCGGCTCACCATCTCTTTGACCAGATATAAATAACCACCTCCCTGGCGTTTTTTTTTTTTTTATTCCTATCTGTAAAACTGACAAAAAAGGAGCCTAACTTACCCATTTCAGGGAACTGCTGAGGGAATCAAAGAGATAATAGACGGAAAATTCCTTCACCAAACTACAAAAGTCACATAAGCATTGAAACTTGACATTCTAAGTTTTCCTTTTAGGAAAAGGTCCTAGACTCAGAGTAAAGAAGTAAAGACTACTCCACCAGGAGTAAGGAGACCTAGCTAGACTGACCTCTGGCGTGGCCCCAGAGTAGCTGTGTGATTCTCCAACAAAGCATGCACTCTTCTCGAATTTTTGTTACTTACCTACAAAATGTGAAGAAGTCAAATGAAATATTCAAAATAACAGATCTTAGAATCTGAACATTTGGCAGAATACCAGAAATTGTCATAACTCTTTTTCCCTCCAGATTTTTTATTTCAGTAGAAAAATGACCTCAAGTCAGAGGGACCTGCAGCTGTTGCCAATACCATGTGTCCACCTTTAGAAATTTTAATCACACATTATTGGGGGTATTCGAGGAGGAAAACAACTTAACAAGCTTTGGTACACCCTTAATTGAATGATAAATGTATTTCGAAATAACTTTGATCAAATTCCACTTGCTTTTAATTCAAGGTTATAGGAATCTTTCATATTCCTTAGACATTCTGATGCATTTTAAATACACATAATGAAATCCATTATCCATACCTGAAAAGGCTGCCTGCTGGAAACACTGAGGTGTTTCCTTATCCATCTGTTGCCTTGATTCCCAAATATCTGCCACAGCAGCTGTCCTCTTGTGTTACTCCAGACTCGCTGGTAGATGGCCAGCCTGTAAATGTGCTTTCCAAACATGTGGTAATAGAAGCGGAAGGTGCAGCCCTCTGTACTGGTGGCGTTGAGGACAGGGCTGAGTAAAGCAGCTCTGTTTTGGAAAACCTGTGGCTCGGAAGATTCTATGTAGAGATAGTGTCCTTTAGCTGTGCCCAAAGTGTTATCCTTCATGGGCCCGGTATTAAGTGTCGAAGTTGGACCGCGCTTCCTGGTCCAATCAAAGTCATCTTCTGTATCTTGTTCCCAGTTACAAATTCCATTTTCAAAGTTACACTGGAGTTCAGGTACTGAAATTGCATTACATAATAGTGAATGAATGAATGAATGAATGAATGAATGAATGAATAATTTAGGACAAAAATAACTACAATTAAGAAAACTCTTTGATATTTTGCTCCTGACATGGTTAACCATTTTAATTCTTTTAAATGCAACATTAAAGTTTCTAAAAGGTGAATAAATCCTAGATTTATATCACATAATAATATTTTATAGACTGAAGGCAGCATTACTTTATCAACTTCCAAATGCCTTTCATGCCTATCCCTTCATCATTTCTAGCACTGTAACTCCATGCAAATGATCATGACACCACGGCCAACTCAAGGTGCCCAACTCCTGGCTCAGCTGATTTCAACCTCAGCTGAATGTCCCAATCACCAGCGAACATTAAATATCAAAACAAAACAAAAAACACCAAGGCCCAGAATTCATCTCCAGAGATGTTAATTTTTTTTAAAAGATTTATTTGAGAGAGAGAGTGTGTGAGAAGGAGGGGGCTGCAGAGGGAAAGAGACTGTCAAGCAGACTCCCCACTGAGCACGAAATCCAATGCAGGGCTCGATCTCACAACCCTGAGATCATGACCTGAGCCGAAATCAAGAGTTGGACGCTCAACCGACTGAGCCACCGGGCGCCCCCAGAGATGTTGATGTAACCGGTGCAAATCGTGCACCAAATATCAGGATACTTCATCATCTCCCTTTGTGAGTCGAACATGCAGAACTGAGAACAGTCACATTTTAATAGGGCTCAGTCTTCCAGAATCACCTGAAGGATGGTAGAATTGCCACTCCATGGTGAAGCCTCATAGAAGTACTAGCTTGTCAGATATGGGGTAAAGCCCAGGAATCCATATTTTTAACAGGCACCCAACATGATTCTGATGTCAATGTTTTCCAGACCTCATGCTGAAAAACTCCTCCCTCTGGTTCCATCTTGGCCCAGTTCCAAATGTCCCTTGGCCCCAGTGCCAGAATGACCGTCCTTTCACCTTCCATGGCAATTTATCATTTTCCTCCTCTATTCAAATTCCTATAACATATACTCAATCTAAACTTAAATCTAAACTCTTCTTTCAATCTTCACCTTTCCCAAATGAAATTAACTTCCTGTTCGTCCCTAACTATCCTTTCATTTCGCATATAACATCTTCCCCACATGCTTAAACACCTCACGCCTCTCTCCTTCCCTATTTATGCTTCCTGTTGTTGTCTTCTGGGAGGCAGTCTTTTCTTCCCATGGCACTGCAGCTCCTTGGAGCTGGAGCTTTTAAACTTTAAACTCCCCTCAGTCTCTAGAAGAATTGAAAGTACTTATGAAGAATTGACTTGTCCCTTGTCAACTAGACAATCTACCATAATTTCTAGAATATAGGAATGTATTCATTTTGGGGGATGTGAGCATTTTTGTTGACACCCAGGATTTGTGTAGAATAAATGCTAGAGAATGTACATGTAGTGTTATTTGGGCAGAAAGAACAGGATTTAGAATTAACGAGGAGTTCTACCTTTTAGCTTCATTTACATAAGTTGGTATTTTTTTTTAAATAAATGTCAGCTGTCCTTTAACTATTCATCTTAGTAAATGCACTTTGTGCCAAAGGGGAATAAATATTCTGAAACAGTAAATACAGGCATATGTGGATAAATGCAGCCAGGCAAGAACAGATCATCTGTCTCTGCAAACCACAGAACAGGAGCTTAGACCTAATGAAGGGAACCCAGTGAGTAAATGTCAAATGAAAGATGAGCTTTCATTTGATATTTCCTCACTTGTGACTCATCAAGCCCAGCTGTGACGTGAACTGGGGACCTGCGGGGTACTCCCCAGGTGTCAGTCTTTGGTTGTGGAGCAGAAGGAGAATGTCAAACTGCTAAGTTTTTTGACATAAAACTGGCACTCAAGCCAACAGATTTTGATATCGCCTGTCTTCCTATGGACTGTATGTGCAATGTGTATTTCAAAAGGGAATGTGCGCAGCTCCATCTTTAAATAAAAGACCCTGTCTCTAAACATGGGCAACTTTAGGAAACACGACAGCGATTTCTGGATGTCTAAGGGTTCTATTCAAACCAATAATATGTCTATATGGACAGCTGAGAGAGAAACTCACCATCTAATGCCACTCCTATTCTCTTTCATTAATATTTAGTCACAAGAAGATTCTGATATTATATTTGTACTGCCGTAATTCCATTCTAAGTTGGCACTGAGTGGTTTGAAGGATAATTTGCTTATTTTTAGTGACATACCAAATTTTTTTTTTGAGGAGGGGGATTCAGAGAGCTTCAAAAAGATGAAAAAGCTTTCTAAATCTGAACAAATAAATTACCTGGAGGACAAGTAACATTTCTTGTGTTAGCCATTGTCTAAACTATCAACTTTACTTCTATCCACTCAAGTATTAGTTGTGTAATGAGATGCATGGTAATTCTGACTTCAATCCACCTGACTGTATCAAAGACCACATATATGCAGGACTCTCTACAATAATTTATATGGAAATTTCTTAATGCAGTGTTTCCTATGATGTACCAAGCATTTTATGGCTTCCCTCTGATTTATAATCAGCCTCTCAATGTAATAAGCATATAGCTTGAATTTTAGGAATTGTTGCTATTTCCGGACAAGGGAAGATGCAAACTCTTTTTCTGAATGATTTTTGTAATTGAAAAAAAAAAAAAAACCAGCTATGAGCTTATGATTCATTTTCAGGAGCAAGTGCAGTGGGCACTATCTGGATCTAGGTTCATAAAACTGTAGAACACGTTATCATCAGATACCATAAGCTTTCTGGTAATTTAAACCAGAAACTCAAGACTTATCTTTGACAGCCTATCTATCAGCTTATCTATCTCTGCTCCCTGTAGCCAAAACATCATCAAATGTTCCTTCCAAATATTTCCCCAAATAGCAATCCCTCCATCTCCATCACTCTGGCTGGGATGCCGACCCCTCCTCATGGACTACCGCAACGGCCTACTGATGGGTCTTCTGAATCCACTCTCCTCCAACCCACTCATCACACTGTATCCACAGTGACATGCTTTAATATGCCAATTTTTTATATTACCTTCCTTATTAAAAACCTTCAGATGAAGAAAAACCTCCCTAATATGGACAATGAAGATCTGCAAATCTGGCCTCCCCCACATTCCTGTCCTTATGCTGCACCCTCCATCCCCTTCACATCCTCCCTCCAGCCACACTGGCTGGCCTCCACCCGCCATGCAGTCACTTATCAGGGCTTTTGCACAGACACTCTGTCTTCTTACTTTTCAGATCTCAGCTAAGCTGTTACCTCTAGGAAGTTCAATACCATTATCATAAAAAGTCACAGCTCCCCTCTCTGTATCTCCCATCAAAGCTGCCAGTTTGTATTTATTTTTTAAATATTTGAATAACATCCATCTCCTCGATTAGACCGTAAGCTCCCTGAGATCTTAGACTCAGTAGTTGTGTTCAGCATTGTATCTCTAGTAACTAGTTCCTCAGTCACCATAACAAATATTGGTAGCTCAACTAATTCAACACTCATCACAGTCATTAACTTTGGAACAATGCTTCATGTCTTTGCCTCAACTGGCTAAAAAAAAACTGAACTAATCAAGATCCCCACTATCAAAATAAGAAGGACCCAAAAAAAAAAAAAAATAATAATAATAATAAAGTACTTACCACAGTCATCCTTTGTATCTTTGCCTTAACTGGCTAGAAAACATTGAACTAATCAAGATCCCCACTATCAAAATAAGAAAGACCAAAAAAAAAAAAAGAGAGAGAGAGAAATAATAAAGTACTTACCACAGTCATCCTCATCAGTGTGATCACCGCAATCATCTACCAGATCACATAACAGAAGCTTCTCTATGCAAGCTTTGCTGCGTCGACACCAGAAGAAATCTGGCTCTTCGCAGCTGTCCGCAGGAAGCGGAAGACTACAATTTTCAAATCTGATGTCATCAATCGCGGAGACTCCATCATAAATGCCAAGACTGACTTTATCTAGTGACAAATGGAAGGGCTGAGTAAGCCGTCCAAGCTGAACATTCGCCTGTGACCACTGGTTGCCCTGGTTATATAGTACTCTCCAGAGTACGGTGGGGTCACTGGAATTTTCCACGTGTAGCTGGAGCTCAGCGGCCCCCACTGACAGACCGTAGTTATAAAACCTGAAAAAAGAGGCAACACAAGGAATGGAAATGATTTATGGCACAGACTAAACATTTAACTTACAGGCTCTTCCGCTTGATCAACAGCCAATTAATCATTAGCTATCACAACGGACACCTTTTTTTCCTGCAGTAATTGCGGCTGCTCCTACGCGAGAGCTTATCTGCTGAGGGGCACACTCTGGCTCACAGGACCCGGGGAGCCTTTCTCAAGGAGTTCAGTTCAGACTAGGGGAGGCAGAGTTAATTAAATTATAATCCACTGTCGGAGGGAAAGAGTCCCTTTCCTTCAAAGAAAGAACACAACAAATGCTGACAATGTGTTCCTAAGAAAAATTCTGACTGTGCAAATCTAACACAATACCTATTTTTAAAGCCAAACCAGCGGCAAATCATGAAGTCTGGTAAGTGCAGGAGTGTGCCTGCAACCACAGGGCTGTAAGGGTAGCTGACCACAGTTTTTAGAATTTACCAGAAGGAAAGCGTGCATCCAGGTCCCGCCTGGCTAAAGGTTGGGCTCTGGAGTTTGGCAACTTGTGACAAGCTTCTGCTTTTCTTCAGAATGAACATAAAATGCCCTATTGGGACACAAATACAAATTGTAAGTTAGCAGACTGAGCTGACACACCTGCCTCTTAACCCCATCCTAAGCTCTGTGTCTGACTAAAATTAAGACCAAACCATTAAAAATCAATAAAAGTGATTGTTAGTCAAATTTGCTCTTGCAGAAACTAAACTAGTATCCACCTCCAGGTTAAAATGATGCAAAAAGTTAATAATTTCAGTGAATTCAGTCAAAAATATATCTATACTCTCTCCCCACCATCCATAAAGGAGTCACTTCATAATAACAAACATAAGCATAACTAAGCTGTCACGCTATTTGTTGCACTAACATAGAACTTCAAATGCTTCTCTTTCTCTGAACAGACCTAACCAAGGGTGAACGAAAGGAGTAACAGCCAGCCTCTCCTTGTTTCTTACCTTGAGCTGTGTTGTGAGTATGATCCCAAAGTGGTGCCTGTTGCTCAAATTCAGTGGAAAGGTTACTTCTAGAGTTCCATACCCAGTCAAAATTGTCACCACTAATTGCTTCAAACCAACCACAGCTATTTGCTTCAAAGTCGCATCTGGAACCTGAAAAAGCAAAATGTGACTCCTAAGGTGGCTCTCCAAAGTGTTCACAAACTTTAGAAAGGGTAGAACTCAACTCTCAATTTGTTAAATCTCTCTAAGTACATTAAAAGACATCTTGGAGGAAAAAAAAGGATCCTATCAGTTCTTTAAAAAAAAAAAAAATGAGTTGTGCTTTTCATACTGGAAATTGATAAGGCAGAATTATCAATTCAAGAAATTAAATTTTTACCAAATATTTTTTCAAAGAGAGTATTAATAGCCATTTTGGTTATAGAATTGCTAAGTTCTACCTAATTTATTCCGATACTCATGTTATTTCTCTGCTGCTATGACATCATCTGGAAGAATTAATTATTCCTACAGATTATTTTATATTAAAACATGGGAAGTAGCTACTTCCAAAAAAAATCAATATTGAAAAATCCAGATTATATTTAATATAACATTCATCAGCAATTTTGTAAAGCTTTAATATTTCCTGAAGCATAGTGTAATTTGTGCAGGGAAGAATAATTTGACCCACTTTTCAGGTCAATATGTAAGAAACAGTTAATTTCCACAAAGCCATAGGAAAAGAGGAAGAGAAAAGGCAGGACTGGGAAGTTATAATAATAGTGTTGAATTATAGCTAATGTTTAATAAGTACCTATGTCACAGACCCTGTACTAAATGCTTTATATAGATCCAACTTTCACAATAGCCCAATGAAAAAAGTGCTATTATTATAACCGCTTTACAGATGAAGAAAGGAAAGCTCAGGGAAGTTACTGATATAACCAAGGTCAGAGAGTTAGGAAACTGTACAAATGGATTGAAATCCAAAGATTTTCACCCCAAATCTAATATTCTTTCTGCAACTATTGACAATAACTGTTAATTGCTATGATTCTGGAAGAAAGATAAACCCAAAATGCACAATTTGAGTTTGTTCAGTGTGGACATTCAGTGTTACTATAGATCCCAACACAAAATGAGCTTTGCTCCTACAGATGATTATTGCACTGGAATCCTTGGTCATTGGTTATTTATATCCAAGGATACAGTAGTAATTTGCATAGGTGTTCTCTAATAAAAAGACTTAGGAAGAAAGCACTAAGCTTAGGGAACAAAAGTATACAATAAATCACTCACTGAGATTATAAAATTCAAAACTGCAAGGGAATTTTAACCTAATGATAAATCATTTTCAATTTTGGAAATGCTTGACCTACACAGGGAGGAAGGTGAGATGAGCTGTAATATTATAAATACAATATTTTTTAAATACTTATAAATATTATAAGTATATTTTACGTTTCTATAAAATATCTGATTTCAAAAATATGCTTGCTTTCTATCAAGTTACTGGCAGAGTAACTTGGAAATGAGACAAAAAATCAATGAGAATGTATGATACTTTTAAAATGTTGCATCAACTTTGGGGCACCTGGGTGGCTCAGTCATCTAAGCATCTGACTCTTGATTTGGCTCAGGTCATGATCTCAGGGTTGTGGGACTGAGCTCTGCCATCAAGCTCAGTGCTCATCAGGGAGCCTGCTAGAGATTCTCTTTCCCTTTGCTTCTCCCCCTCCCCCCTCTCTAAAACAAATAAATCTTTAAAATTTTTTAAATTTTTTAATTTAAAAAAATAAATCTTGAGGAAGCACACAAATAATAAAATGTTGTATCAACTTTAATAAGCAAGGAATAACTATATTTTATTAGAAATCAGAAAAATCAACAAATTAATTATACTTAGAATGAAGATTTCTCGAGTAAAGTTTACAAATTTGTGGAGAGACAATTAAATGCTGCTCAAAGGTGAAAAATAATAATGATAATTATGACAAGTTAGGGATAAATGCTCAGAATATTTGACTATATTTTCAAAGGCCATCTCTGTTTATAAATATATAATATATAAATAATCCAGATTTTAGGGGTTTCAAAATATGTAGGTGCCATTTCAATCCCTGGGAAAGCAATTATTTTTTTGCTATATGTATATATTTTTTTGCTTTTTATTGCTATTTCAGACAATCCAAAAATTAAAAAAAAAAAGAAGAAGAAGAGGACCCAGGAGTTGTTTTATACAAAGGAAAGGAAAGGAGTTATTGCTGCTTTGGAATAGTTATCCCACATAGCTACCTGGAAAGGGAGCCTTATCCTCTGTTGTCTGCTGTCCAGGGAGATACTGATGTAGAAATAAATGAATATTCTAATGGTAGTAAAATTTCAGGAACCATTATGGCAATTTGCTAGTTCTCTAGATAAAGCCCATCAAAAAAAATCAATCTTTAACAGATGGTTATGTTGTTAAACTTCAAATACACCTGTCTCATCTACTTTGTTCCTAAATATTTAGATTTCTATACACACTTTAAAACTCACCTCAGCTGATCAGAGATGTAATAAGGTCACCTGAAATTAAGCTGGTTAGCTGTTTACCAAGTAGATACTTCATTAGAGCAGTTGTTGAAAATTATGTATGTCTTTTCCTGACTTAAAATACAATATCCTGGTACATTTTGATAATTGGGGTTCAAAGATTGTTCACTTTTCTGGAGCCTCACGATCAAGTTTCTCAGTTATCATCATATCATCATCTCAGTTAACATCATAATTTGCAAGAACAATCACAGTTACCACTATTACAGGGTTTATCTTGTACCAAGCTTTGTGCTAGGAGCTATTAAGTTCATAACACGATGTCTGTTGATATAAATCTTTAAAAATTATCTATTGCTATGGATATGGGTTAAAAAGCTAGTGACTCCACTGCAGCTTTTATTAATATTCAGCAAAATTACCCTTGTTGCCTTTATTAGTTGTGTAAATATAATTTCAGTAGCTACCCCTGAGGAAAGGGTGCTAGGGGATTCTCGGTGGACTGACACACAGCTCCATCCCCTTACACTATCACGGTCATGCTGAGAGCTTTTCACTGAGACAGAAGATAAATTTATGTAGGAGCCAAGGAACCTTGTGAGGGGGAAAAATACAGAATCAGATGGTCTTATATCAAATTCACTGTCAGAACTTCTTTGATGGTTTGAGATGATCCCCACAGAAAATCACGTGTAAGCAATAAACACGAAAGGTAGAAAGTGTCTGAGCTGATAATTTGGGTCCCATGCAAAGACTTGAAAATTTACAGAAGAGTGCTTCTTAGTATCTACCCAAGGAACTCAAAAATTTACATCCACACAAAAACCTGTACATGGATATTTACAGCAGCTTTTTCCTTTTTTTTTTTTTTTTTTTAGCAGCTTTATTTCTAATTGCCAAAACTTGGAAGCGACAGAAGTGTCGCTCAGTAGGTGAATGGTTAAATAAACTGTGGTACACCCAGACAGTGGAACAGTGGAATATCATTCAGCACTAAAAAGAAATGAGCTATCAAGCCATGGAGACATGGAGGAAACTTAAATGCATATTACAAAGTGAAAGAAGCCAGTATGTAAAGGCCCATACTGTAGGCTTTCAACTATATGACATTCTGGAAAAAGCAAAACCGTGAAGACAGTAAAAGGAGTAGTGGCCGCCAGAAGTGGAGGTGGGGGGAGGGCTGACTAGGTGGAGAACAGAGGATCTTTATGGCAAGAAAATACTCTGCATGATACCATATTGACAGATTGTACCACACATTCTTCCAAGCGCACAGAATGTACAACACCAAGAGTGAATCCTAATATAAATTATGGGCTCTGGGCGATTATTATGTGTTGGTGTAGAATCATCAGTTGTAACAAAACCCCCCAACCCACCCCACCCTCCCATATTGCCAAATGCTGATGTAGGAGAAGCTGTGTGTGTGTGTGTGTGTGTGTGTGTGTGTGAGAGAGAGAGAGAGAGAGAGAGAGAGAGAGACAGGGTAGAGGAGTTAGATGGAAAATCTCTACTTTTTCCTCAACTTTTCTGTGACTCTAAAACTGCTATGAAAAAAAAACCTTAATAATTAATTAATAATTACTCAGTTAAGGTAAGTGCTTTAAAGAAAAATAAAACAGGGTGCCTGGGTGGCTCAGTTAGTTAAGCAACTGCCTTCGGCTCAGGTCATGATCCTGGAATCCCAGGATCAAGTCCCGGAATCGAGTCCCGCATCAGGCTCCCGGCTCCACAGGGAGACTGATTTTCCCTCTGACCTCTCCCGTCTCATGTTCTTTCTCACTGTTTCCTCTCAAATAAATAAATAAAATCTTTAAAAAAAAAAAAAAAGAAGAGAAAAAGAAAACAAAATTTTATAGGAGGACATATGTTCTTACACGTCATGTGGTTGAACACCAAACCCCCTCTGGTGTCAGCCACATAAGCAAAAGATTCTCAGGGGGAAAAAAAAAAAAAGGGAAAATGGCTAAACATGTAAGTGGTAATTGTAAAAATTAGAAACCTAAAGCCCAGCTGAAGGGCACCCTGTGGTTTACAGAGAGATCGAAACCAGTAAAGACATAACTGTTGTGTGAAAGACATCCATTTATTGCATATGTCACATCATCTCTAATTCTCTCAAAATACAGAACATATTACTGCACCCATTTTAGAGAGGAGAAAGATAAGGGTGAAAGAGGATTAACATATAATTTATAGGGGTCATTATTACTGACAAAATTCCAACCAGGACCTGATGTCAAAGTCTGTGCTCTTAAAAAATTATACTGCATTTGTAGTTAAAGTAATAATCATGATAACTTACAATTTTAGAACTATTACATGCCAAGCACTGTGCTTTGAGTTTTTAATGCAAGATCATATAAAATCTAAACATGTATAACTACAGGGCATGCTCTAGAAGTAGATCTTAAACTGTATAATAATAAAGGCATAACTTGTCTTACTGCTCTTCACAAATATTACTTTTTTTTTTCTTAACAAATTGAAGGCTTATGGCAACCCTACATTAAACAAGTCTACGGGCTTCATTTTTTTCCATTTGCTCACCTCATTCTGGTAATTCTGGTCACATTCTGGTAATTCTCACAGTATTTCAAACTTTTTATTATTATATTTTCTATGGTGATCTA